TTTTTCCCCTTCGATATTTTTCCTTTCGGCGTTACTACGGCGCCCCTATTCAATGGTACATAGACAGTTGAGCCTCCTACAAGTAAGTCTTCCCAAGTGAACTCATTTGAAACCTTCGGAATAAGGACTGTTGAACTGCTTGTGAGTATGGGTGTGGGAGTATGAGATGTGGGTGTCGTTCATTCTTTCACCCACCCACACTCAAATTCTTCATTTTGTCAATTGTCAGACTTCTAATGTCAAGAGGCTCAACTGTCGTATCACCATATTCAATGAAGATATGAAATTGGCTTCCTTTCATGCTAAAGAAATACATAGTGTTGATAAATTAGTATTTTTATATAATAACAATTCCTTTTTACTTACATAACTTTAATTGCATCATGAATCTTTTCCAGATTCTTTTCTATATATTGGCGAAAAAGAGAAAATCTTCTATGGACCAAATTTCATCTGCTGCTTTTTTGTTAAATATTTATTCAACAATAAAGTTAAAGCATTGTAAAACGTAATATGTTGCATTTACAAGAAATGCAGTGCATTTATCTGTATTCGCGTGCAAATGAAACGTGTTCTGCAGATTCAAATTTTGAAAACGATGCAAAACACATTTAGCTTTACGAACGAATTACACATCAGTCAATCTTTTGGTACTTTCTTATGACATTGGTCGGTGGACAGCCACAAAAATGGGTCTGATCAACCATTATCAAATAAAGAAACAGAATGATTACCGCAAATCATCTGAATCTCATCTTTATTTCTGACTTTTGATTTTTTATGATCATTCGTAGACACAAACATGAAGGAAAACAAAGAGTAAATCAAATACAATTTTAAACAGGTAATTCATCTTGATTACTTAATATGATAATACTTGAAAAACGATGCCAAGCTAAGTATATTCGCACCCTGGCTTTTCAGTGTTTTTGATCGTTCACTTTGTAATATTCTCTGTTTTAAAGTTCGAATTAAATTGGTCTCTCGTTAGAGCTTAAAGACTTCTATAAAATCATCTAGGTGAAGTTTTGTTCTCTTTACATTGTCACTTAAACAATCTCTCTTATAATAGATAAGAATAGAAAAATGTCTAAAAATTATGCTTTGGGAGTAATTTTTACGGAATATCCAATGAATGCTTTCGTCCATGGTGACTCGCTTTCGGAGTGATATTATTTAAGAAACTACTTCGATTAAAAATCAGAAAAATTTCGTTACATTAGTTGAGAGAATGTTGTCGTGTCTTACAACACGACTAAATAAATGACTGTTGACCAAACAACTTCGTTCTTTAGATTTTCTTTCTTTGCAAAATAACTGAAGTTCACCAAACGTGTTGCCGTTGAGAAATAAGTTCTGAGATTATACAAAAAACTTGTATAGCGTATATATATTTGAATATTTTGTATTATATATTGCAATCGGCTATCGGTTTGTCGGTATTCAGTGTGTTACTCTAACAAAGACCTTAACTTGTCTAAAATTTATGCGAAAACTACCGAAAGATAGAATTCAAAACGCTTATGTTTGTCATTCCTGTTAGTTATTTAAGGCCTCCCTCCCTCAAAAATGAATCTCAGCCCAGGAACATCTAAATCGCATGAAACTTTCAGGATATGTTGAGGCTGATGATTCATGACTATAGTAAAATTTTCAAACCTGTAG